ATTTTTCCTGACGGCAAGACAGAATTTAAGAATTTAAAGCCACCTGAAGCTGTTAACTAAATGGAAGAATCCCTCCAGGAAAGTGATGTGCAAGTGGGATGTGACATAAACAGTGTATTTTCACTCAGTTTTCTAGGCAAGATAAGACCCAAATAGCTAATGAAAAAATCCCAAGCAGATTATTTTTAATCAAAAAAGTAGGGCAGAGATCTTACCAGACAACCCTGATCTAAAATAATAAAGCAAAAAAAGGTCAGCAATCCTCTTCTCAAGGCAGCTTTTAAGCAGTGAAAGCAAAGTGGCAGCTGGGTCTGTGCGCAGGCTAAGCCTTGCTCATCTCAAGCACATTCCCAGATGGAAAGCTCTTCTCCCCAGTTCTGATGATCCCAGCACACCAGAGCCCTCACTCCTTAACTGAGACAGCTTTCTGACCTCCAGCTTAGAGAGAGCTGAAGAGCCTGGAGCTTCTGCCCCTGAAGTGTGCACTCTTCGCGTCAAATCTGAGAGCGGGGAGCAGACGTGTGTCATAAAGATGCTGTTCTCAGAGACAATAGGGGACCTGCGCCAACACCTTGCCCACGCCAGGTAGGACTCTTGCCCTCCTTGCTCCCCACTCTGCTCCATCCAGCTCTAGGGGAGGTTCTGCTGCTGCTCAGGGCCCTGGAGCCATGCTTGGAGCAGAGCAGCCTGCACTGAGCAGAGCTGGGTCCTGGGCTCTCTCTGCTGCTTTGGCTCCTCTTGACACCAGAGCTGCTCTCTAGCTGGCAGGGATCTGCTCAGAGCACCTAATACACATCTTTGACAAAAAGCTGACGCATCACAAGAGATGCCTTTCATCCTCTCAAAACTAACAGTTCCAGACGGCTGGGGGACCTTTTTGGTCTTCACTCATCATAGGCTGTAGCCCTTGCCTCTATCCAAGCTCATGCTGAGCTCACTTCTGCTGGGATGGAACAGCCTCCTTCCCACTGCAGCTGTGAAGCCTGGAATGGCTGCTCTGTGCCTGGCTACGCGCAGTTTGGGCAGGAAGCCTTTTTTTCTGCTTGGCCTGCACTTGCAAGGCAGCCTCTCCCTCTGCTCTTAACTGCAATTGGATGAGCCACAGCATCTCTGCAAAATCTTGGGGGATGCTGTGCATAGGAAAAGATTGCGCTGTTCTTTCCTAGGGGTGGAGATTCCGACTCATATGAGATCATCAGCACCTTTCCCCAGAGGCTGTACGCGGACAACTCCAGGAGCCTGCAGGAATGTGGGCTGATCCCCAGTGCCTCCTTGCTGCTGCGAAGAAGAGACCCCTTCCCACCACAGGGGACAGGTCTGCAAACAGCCTAGCGGCTCCTCTGCAGGAGGAAAGAGCTATCTTGCACTGTTAGCTGAATTACAACATCCCCCTGGCTGGAAGAGAGCAGAGTTGTCTTTCCAGATCTAGTTTCATTGTGCCGTTACCTGGGATGGAGAGCAGGGCTCCTTCTCCCTTTAGCAGAGTGCCGCATGCTAGCCCGTGTTCTGCTGCCCCCTGGGTGGATGGTTGCTCTTCCCCAGATCAGGTGGGCTGCTGTCACAGGGATTTCTGTTAGCTCAAGGTAGAGGCCTGGTTTCTCACCTCTGCTGGAGGTTATATTGGCTGATCTCTGCTCAGGGAAGGCTGCCAGCTTTGCACTGGTACAAGGGCAGTTGCTTAGCCGGACTCAGGGATTCTCTACAGCAGCAGATATCTGGGCAGGACAGACAAACAGCAAGGGGTCAATCTCCTTTCCACAGAGTTGCTGCCCGGAGATTTCAACTGTATGTATAGCAGAAGTAAAGCAGGCTCAGTGACACGGTCTTGAGCAATGGCCTTGGGCCGTTGCAGTACTGGGACTGAGCCAGCCTCCTTCCAGCCAGGAGATCCTGCTGCTGGGTTTCCTGGACGTGAGCAGCTCCTTTCCTTGGACAGCCCCCAGCTGCAGAGGGGCCGAGGCTCACAGCCACATGGAGCCAAGCCTGCTGCGGCTTCAAGCTGCTGCCTTCCTCCATCCCAGCCCGCCACTCTGCTGCAACAGGACACCATGTCATTGGAGAAGAGCATAATCCCTTTGCTTCTTCTCTGCTGAACCCTGAGAGTAAAGCATCTTCCCCTCCTTTAGGCTGGGGCAATGCTCTGCAGGCCCCTTTCTGTGCACATTCTTCCCATTTCAGCTCTGACAAGTTCCCACTTGACTCCCAGCTGATAACACTCCCACATGTGCAAGGCAGCGCCTTCTGGCAGCTTCCCTTTTAGCAGAAGCCCAACACGTGCCATCACCCAGCCCTCTTTAAAGGCTCTTGATAAAAACATTTCTTTGGTTGCAATTTCCACTTTCATTAAGTTTCAAAGCAGCAGCGAGACGCAGAAATAGGGCAGGGTAGTCTGAGCACTTCCTGGGGCAGCTCTGCTTTCCCAGTCCCCTGTGACCAGAGCTGAGCCACGCACAGCTTACACAGGAAGCACCACAAGCTCGGGCCAGCTGCCTCCACAGCCTCCCTGCAATCGGTGACTCAATGCCTGCAGCTGTCTGCTGGTTTCCTCCCTTTTCACATACACTCTTGTATTTGCTTTAACGGCCCCCTCCTACAGGGCACTGCCCTTTTGCATAGAGCTGGTCTATAACCAACCAGGTAATTCCAGTTCTGTATTTTGCCCCTGGGTCTGGCTGCCGCTGTCCCTTCCCCAGGCTGTTCTTACCACGCATGGGCTGCTTAAGAGAGGAACCTGCCACTGCTGCTCTGCTGGATGCTGAGACAAGTCCCAGGAGCCCTTCATTAGCAGCAAGTGGTCTGAGGCATTCCGATCTTTGTGTCAGGCTGCAGTAGCACCTCAGCTCCTCCAAGATGGAACTGACTTAGAATCGTTATGTAGGCTATTTAACCTGTCAAAATAAAAGCAATTTAAAAGGAACCCACGAGTGCCAGCACAAAAGGTACAGTAACATTTAATAGCATCTCGGAAGACAACGCTGGTTATAAGCTCACTTTTTGGCAGGAAAACAAAATGCACTTGGTCCAGGTTGCAAAAAGCCAACAGAAAACAGGAAGGATGAGATAGCTGGAACATCAGCTGTTGTGAAGCAGCCCTGAGCCATCAGCGCTCACCAGAGAGCCCTCAAACTGCATCACAGCATTGATGGAGCAGTGCAGGTCCCAGCTCCAGGCCCACCCGCTCCCAGCCTGCTAAGAGACGCCTCAGCCCCAGCCTGCTCCCCAGTGGGTGGTCATACCCAGCTTTGCGCAGTATTTCTGCATTAAATTATTAAAAAACAAAACAGAAAACTTAGTTGCCATGATCTGTGCAGTTGAGATGAAAGTTTTGTTTTTTTTTTTTAAAAAAAAAAAAGGAAGTGAGGCAGCAGGATTTACAATTTTAACAGCAACTGGGAGGAGTGGAAGTAACATGCAACCCTAAGCCCTTCCCTCCTAAAGCAGAAGCTCTCCCTGTAGAGGAGAAGGCTGACGGGCAGCTGCACTTCGCACAGCCCGAGAGGCTTTGCTGTTTACAGAGGCACTGAAAGCTGCGGTGTGAGCCGGGCCCAGCTCTGTTCTAAGGCCATGCGCAGCGAGCGTCAGGCTTTCTTTGGATCCCTCTGAGATGACATTGGGGTTAGGTAGGAAGGAATCGTAGGCAGCTGCAGTGAGTGGTTTTGGTCACGGGTTTCCTGGTGCTGGAATACAAGTCGCGGTGCCAGGACAGCGCTGACAACACGGAGGTGAAGATGGTCGGAGATGGGGGTGCACAGGAACGCAGGTAGAGTCCAGGATGGGCAGAGAGCCTGCGGGTCAGGCCAGCTTCAGGAACTCCTGCAGGGTGTTTTGTTCCACCGCTTCCACAAAGAGCTCATAATCCTGCAGGGAACAAAGCACCCAGTTGCTCACAAGCAAGAGGCACGCAGCCCCAGCGCCCGTGTGCTGCACGCTGCCTCCAGGCGGGCAGTGCGGCCCTCCCAGCACCCAACACAAATGTGCACAGCACTGCTGCCAGGAGGTCACGTGGAAGATGATGGGGCAAAGTTACCACAGCGCCACACAGCCCAGCCCCACTGCCCGTGGGCACACACAGCCACCCCAGCACTGCACTGTGCTCCAAATGCAGATTGACACCGACTGCCTTTTGTCTGTGCACCTCAAGGGGAAACACCTTTCCAAAAGCATCCCGAGGGCATTTGCAGCAAAACCAAGGGGATAACGTCACTGCCCTCCAATCCGGCTCTCACAGCACCGACCCCCAGCGCAGCCTTACCCCGCAGTACTGGTCTCCGTTGACAATCTGGGGTGGGATGGCTTTGGGGTTGCCCGCCTTTGCCCTCATCTCCTCCCGGAGAGCGTTGTCCTGGGAGATGTCCACCAGCTCGTACTTGATGTTCTTCCCATCGAGGATTCTGGTCACTTCGCTCTGTTGGGATTTGATCTGGAAGCGGGCGGCAAAAGCAACGTTATCGGGATGCGGGGAGGAGCTCCGAAGGATGAATGCACGCTCAGTGCATCAGCCTACACCTGCCCGGGGGGGCCTCTACTGGAGGGGGAGGGGAGGCCACGCAGCACAGAGCCGCGAGCAGAGCAGAGCGGGCGGGGACGGGAACCGGGAGAAACACGGCGGGAGAGCAGGGAGGGAACGCCGGGATGGGGCGGGGTGGGGAGGCTCGTACCCCCATGGAAAGGACGCCCGCCCGAGGAAGGGAACCCGCGGCGCCCAGCCCTGCCCCCGCCGCACCGCGCAGCCCCTCACCTCCCGGGAGCCGGTCACCGACGTGCTGTACACCTTCAGAGCGCTCATGCTGCGCCCGCGGCCGCTCCCTGCGCACAGCCCGGGCGGGGGACGCTCGGAGGGCGGAGTGGGCCGGCACCGCCCCGCATGTGACTGCGGCGACCAATGGAGCCGGCGGGCGCGGGCATGCGGGGCTGCCAGCGGCGAGGGCCCGGCCGGAGCGCGCGGAGTCCCGGGGGCCCTGAAGCGCTTCACGCCGCCACGCGGGACTGCTTTGCACGAGTGGAGCAGAGCAGCTTTATTTTATACTCAAAACATTCGGTACAAACAAGTGGGTAAAGACAAACGCCGATATAAATACACCCGTGCTCGACTCGACGAAGGAAAACAACGCGAGGCTGAACGCCAACCGTCGGAATACGAACTGCACAACCAGCAGGGAGGTGAGGCACGTGGTCCTGCACGCTGCGCAGGGTGCTCGCGAAGGAAGGGCCGAGTCCCGCGCCCAGCCGGGCTCTGCGTTAAGCCCAGAGGTCGTTTTGCAGGACAAAAGCACGGCCGTTTCCTGCAGGGTAACCCGCAAAGCGGTGACACGGAAGCCGGGGCTCAGTACGGGCGCAGGGCTGGGGCAGCCAACCCAGCCTCAGGGCTGCGGCGTTCTGCCGCGATCCCATTTGCGCAGCCGGTTGCGGACAGGCAGGAGGCGCACGCGGCCCTGCACCCAGAGTCACATCTCCCACCGCACCCAGAGCAGAAGGCGGCTGCTGCTGAACAGCACATCCCAGCCTGCAGCCTTCCGTGCCAGAGCTCCCGGCGGCCGGGACCTCAACAAGCTTTGGCCCACAGCGAGCTCAGGACGTGGCACCAGGAGTGTGGGGACAGAGCCTGAGATGTAACACAGCAGATGCTGGAAGCTCTGCATGCCGTCCCGGAGCTGGCTGGCATGGCACACTAACCAACTCGTGGCCTAACTTCAAGAACAAAACAGATTTGGTCTTAAATCTTAACACAAAAGTTACAACAACATTTCTCTCAAAATTAGGGCTCACGGCCCCAGTGTGAACCAAGAGCAATTGAAGGGGCAGAAGTTTCAGCAGTACGTTCCCTGTTTTACCACTGACTTCATCATTTGTGGGTCAAGAGAGAGCAACCAACACAAGTTTCACCCTTGGCACCACAGTACTGTCTCAAGCCAACACTCAGGACTGTAAAGTTGCCACTAAGATTAAGAAAGTTGTGACAAAATTAACTGTATCCCACGCCAATTTAGATTCCAATTATTTGGCACAGGAGTGGGGAGCAACCAGAGAACCAGAGGCAGAACTAGAACAAAACCTGAGTAGTTGCAGCCTCACTGGCATCAGGAGGAGCTCTCAGATCCAGCTGTACAATCCTGCTGCCATTTTAGGACCAGAAGGGCTTTCTCCTCAACAAGGAGTAAGCAGAGCCATGCAGGTTCTCCTAACAGGCCTGCAGCGCGGTCCCCCTGTGCAGAGGGTCCCTACAGCTCAGGCAGGAGCTACGTACATTCAGAGCCCTGCAGGATTGTTTGCAATGGCTCTGAAGGCTGCTACAAGAAATAGTAATTCCTCACCCTGCCAGCAGATGCATTAGTTACAAAGCAGTGTGTGAACAGGAAGCTTCTGTAGCACATTAAGGCACTTCAGCATCAATCCATTTCCTCTGTAGCCTGGGTCATACACACACTCCGCGTGCTTTTTCAGGGGGATAAAAGGTTTAAGGCTTCTAGGATCCAGGGGCAGCATTTTGAGTCTTCTGTTAGTGTTGTTTTATTCCCCAACACCTGTTGGCTACCAGAAGACTCTGGCTGCATTTACCTGAGCAAAGCAGGTCCTGGTGCATGAATGGCTACACAAGCATCCAAATCAGAATTGCACACAGCACCTGACAAGCCTGTAGCACAGCGATGTAATTAGTGGTAGCATAATCAGCACACCTGCTTGCCTACAGAATCCACAGATATCCCTGAGCACTCTGATAGCACTCCACTCTTACAAGCTGCACAGGATCTGTGCAGAGAATTTATCAGAAAGACCAGGGCATACATTTTCTTTTAGTGTTGGTTTTAGCTTTTGTCACATTTGCATGTTCAGTGTCTGACATGCCTTGGAGGCTATTCAGAATTCATCTCCCAGAGTGAGAGAGTGCACCAGCTCCAGCAAAGACAACAAAAAACACATTCCATAAGATCAAAGCTACTGCAAAGCCTGACACTGAAGCCCTGAATGATTCCAGTTAGCCAGTCAGCAGATAAACACTTCTGGCAACAACCCCCAATTTCTCCTGGATAAGCCACACGTTTGTACCCAAGCATTGGGATGGTAAAGTGCTGAACAGGTTTTCAATTGTAGGAGTTCTAGTCTCCTGAGAGTTCAAGTCTTCATTTCCTGTCTTACTCTGGGGGGAGAGCTCTCCTCACTGAGTGATGCAGTTGTCTCCCATGTCCTGGGCGTATCTGTCAGATATTGCCGTTCTTAAGTCCTCCACCTCTCTCTGAAGCTGTTTTACCTCCACCAGTTTTTTTGCAAGCGCATCGGGGCTCAGCAAGTCGTCCTTCTCCTTAGCTGAGTACTGCGCAGCTGTGGAATCAGAGAAAAGCGTTACCTCAGGTATGCATTTCTGACCAACAGCCCCATGCATCTGTAAGTGAGACAAAAATCAATGCACATTTGCAATAGACATATTTGTAACATGCAGCTGTTACTGTATGCACTCTTAAAGCTTGCTAACTGCAGTAAGAAGATTCAGGAAGGTAAGAATCTTCTAAACTGTAGGTGAGGTACTTAATTCTGCTGCAGCACATGCAACAAAGGGTTCGCTATGCCATCACTGCATACTTACAGCGAATGCCCAGAAGCAGGGAGAGATTAGGATCCTTGCCCTGAGCCCTCTGAGTGACAATGCTGTAGACAGACTGCAAATCCTGCAGGCAGCTGGCCAGCTCACAGTGCAACTCCTGGGCAAGGCGGGCAGTCTCAGCAGGCAGGGGCTGAGCTGTCAGCTCTGCCTGCCGGAGCCGTTCCTGAAGGGTCAGGTTCTTCTCAATGAGATCCTGGTTCTGCACTGAAAGCTGAACAAGTGGCAGCAGATGAGTGGTCACTGGGTACAGAACAAGAACACTTCAAAGCAGCTTAACACAATTGCTCAGTGATGATGGGAGCACCGATGTCAGGAGGAGCAGGTCTATATTTAAAGCCCTCCAGACTCTCTCCAAGTGAGTGAGAAAGTGAGCAAGTGTCAGCCCTGCAGGGTCTGAGCAGCCTGCTTTCCTGGCTGACAGGAAGCACTCAGTGATGCTGTGCTGTCCCTGACAGCGTGTGACAAACAGAAAAGCTTTCAGGAAACGTACACCACCATCTCATCCCCACCCTAGCCATCTCTTCCCTCAAAGGCTGCCACTGTACTTCGGTTCCTTAGGCTTGAGACCGAGGCTCAGTCCTGCCCTTCAGCCAGGATTGCAATTGAGTTTGGACTCATGTTCACTGCCTTGCTGCCCCCAACAGGCCAGCTTGGTGTTGTCCAACACAATCCACAGCCTCATTTGAAGTTCCCGAAGCAGAAACTGCCTCTCCCTTCATGTTTTTGAGCACTGACAGGACAAGTGATGGGCAGAAAGCAGGACAGACTGTGCTGCTGACTGCAAATTAGAAGCCCTGCTAAAAACTACAATCATTCAATTGCTATGCTCAGGTACTCTGCACTGCTCTGACCTCTTTCACTGCAGTCCGCAGCTGCTGCAGCGCATTTTCCCTTCTCACTGCCTCCTCTTTCAGAGCTTGGCTTGTTCCTTCTTCCTGGGCCACCTGTTCTTCCAGGTTCTGCAAAAGACCATGGGAAAATGGTAAGTCTAGCTTGCTTTATAGAAAATTGAATTTCAAGGTACCTCCACAGCCACCTTCTCACCTTCACTTGCGAAGACAACTGCTCCATCTTCTTCTGCTGTTTTTCCACAATCTGGAATCAAAAGCACAGGTGTAACTATGAGCCACAGGGAATTTCAGCAATGCCACCAGGACTCTTCCTTCACTAGGACAATCCCTCTCTTCCTTGTTCCAGTCCACTTACTGCTTTAATTACTGCCGACATCAGTGGGAGATTAAGGTGCCCTGATAAAAGGCACATCAGAAATATCAGCTACAAACAGACCAGCAAAGTTACATTCTTGTGGTTTTCTTCTCTACATTCTGCAGCTTTTCTCCACTAGTACTCCTGTAGTGCATGGTTATCACACCAGGAACAGTTCTTAAAACCTTTTGGTTTAGAATTACAGGAACTGCTGTTTCAGTGCAGTTGTAACTACCTATAGATGTAAAAGTCCTCGATTTCATTCTTGTGCCCAGTGTGACTCCCTGGAAAAAAAAAAAAAAATTATGGTTCCCAGTTGGGAGAGCCTGTTACCTTCCTGAGGCAGTCACATTCTTTCTTCAGAGAGTCATTTTCTATTTTCTGTTTCTCCCCATCCTGTACAGGAGTTCCTCTCTCTGCATTCTTTACACACTGCTGCACCTTGTCCTGCAAGCTGAAAATAGCACAACACCATGGGAAAACCAGCTTTGTTTGGGGCGTTTCCCTCTAGATAATGTGAGAAGGCAAATGATTTCCATAGCAGATGTCAGTGCTCTCAGTTTGCATCCCAGCAAAGGGATGTGAGAGAAGGAATCCCATTCCCTGGGCACAGCCCTGAGCTTAATATTGGTGGAGCCTCAGACACTGCAGGCCACAAAGATATACTGTGCAAGGAATTATGGTTAAGGCCAATAACCAGAAGAAAAAAAAAACTAAGGAGGACAAGAGAAGCTGTTTTTCTTCCTGCTATTTTGATATTCTTCCACCCCCTACTCTCAGCATATAGAATTTGAGCAGTGCTTTGGTGAGTGGTCGCATAATCTTCACAAATTCATGGCAACCCAGTTCAGAGGTGGGACAGCAGATGAGCTAAATCATCACTGGTCTCATGCAGTTACTACTTCAGTCCTAAGGTGAAGATTAGATGTAATCCCATGTATTTTTACCTGTGCACAGTGGAAAGAAGTTCCAGTTCTTTATGTTTCTGGGTTTCTAGCTGCGTCCCTTGCTCTCTGAATGCAGCTCGTAAATTTCCAAGCTCTGTTTCCAGTGCCAGCACTGTTTCTTGCAGAGCAGTACTCTTCAGTTCAGATTCCTTTAGCTGTAGCAAAGACAATCACAACACTAGAGAACTCCCAGGAATTCCAATCACATGCACAACATTTTCCAACTACCTACCCTTGCAATGCAGATTTTCATTATCTATGTGCCCCCCTTCAGCTGTAGCTCAGAACACCCTTCCCAAAAAAGGGAGGGCTGTAACTTTACTTGGGCAGCTGCACAAGGGTTTATTTGCAGCTGTAGAAAAGCCACCTGAGCAACTGTTTGAAGAGCTATCATCATTACCCAGAGGATATATAGAGCGTATTTACCTTCTGACTCTGCTTCTGGTGGTCCTCAAGAGTTGGAAGATCAGCCAGGTATCGTTCCAGGGTCTCAATTCTCTGCTGCCTCTCCCTGTTTTGTTCAGATTCCTTCTGGCATTTCTTTTTAAGGTTATTAATGTGTTTGTCTCTTCCCTTTACCTGCAGGGATAGTTAAATATGAGATTAGTTTATATTATTTCTTGTCCATTCTTCAGTCATCTGTATACCCACTCATTAATGTGTTTGTTCAGACTCAGCACCAAAATGCCACCTTGCCTCGGCAGTATTTCTGCTCATTTAGCTAAAGACAGGCTTCTTCTCTGCTTAAAAACACTTGTAACTACAGGACAAAGGATTTTTCCTTATAAAGCCAAAGTACTCTTTAAGGAGATCAGAATACACATACAGCGCATAGCTGTGAAAAACTTTTGTGCACCTCTCTACACTGCCTTTTGACTTTTCAAAGACATCTTCCCATCTCCACATCGATGGCATCGTACCCTTTCTTCCTGCTTCTTTAAATCCTCTGCATATATCTGCTTATTTTCCTTCAGCGTCTCCTGGATCAGCTTTGCATCCACCTCTGCAGCAGCCAGTTTTCTTTCCAATTCAATCTTCTCCTTACTGAGAGATTCAGTCTTCTCTGCGAATTGTGCTCGGAGAAACGTGTTCTCCCGCTGCAGCTCCTACAAACACAGACAGCCCGTGAGTTCTGTTCACCACACCAACGGTTATTAACTGGCAGGAAGCAGATGAGTTGTCTCAGAGTTGTGTGCTTTTAATCCCCAACCATCGTTCAGCACATCTTACACACTGCAGTCTCTGACACTGCACTCGTCAGAGCTGGCAGCACTTGGATCAAAAGCACAGCTTCTGAGCAAACCCTGCACTTCAGGGCTCTCAAGAGTCAGAGGCTCTCAGAGATGACATAATAAGGATCACACATGGGATAATTTTACTCTGCACGGCCCTCCTCCTTGGGAAACAACTAGTGAGGAGTGGTAGGGCCCGACGTTTCAATACTATTTCCCACTGGCAGCCTGCAGCACCTGCATTCTCAGCATGCAGACGTCTCCATAGGGCGCTGGGCAGCCAAGCAGGGCGCTGTGAACCTGCAGTTCGCTCTCCCGGACCTTCTGCTCTAACTGGGATATGTGTTGCCTTTGCCTGTAAACAAACAAAGACAAAAACAGGTGAAGCACTTTTCTCCAATGTATCCCTTTTTTTTTAATGGCAGTGCAGAGCAATGCCACAAACAGTGCCACAGCAACTCTAACTAATGCTTGACATGGCAACAAGCACAGTGGAAAGACAGCTCGACAACTCAAGAGCTGGCCTGCACTGAGCACTGAGTGAAAGCTGCTCATTTTGACCTTTCTACAATTTGCATAAACTTTTCTTCTCTCTCCTCCTCTCAAAATTTCCCTGCCCACCCCCACAGCACTGGTTATACAGCAAACACACAAGCCTTGCATGTTCTGGAAGATCCAGCTCGACTGCAGAGTTTATGAGTAAAACAGACATCAGAGGACTCGAGACGAGCAAGCAGAAAGGATGCTTACAGCTCAGATGCTGAAGGCAGCTTTCTTTAGAACTTTTTCAAAAGCTTACAGTCACTAGCATTATCTATTGGAAGTGCTCTTTGTTGGTCTAAACTCACAGAAACAACGAACAAATTTGACAGGAAGATCCCCAAGAGCTTCCAGAAAGTCCTCAAGCACAGAGGAGGTAGTTCTGACATTTTAGATAACTGTGATGTAAACAAAAATATTTTTCCATTACAAAACACAGAAAACTGTAATCGAAGTTGGTTTCTTTGAACTCCTTAGGATCATTGTCTCATTTTCACGATGAAGGGGAACAGAGCATGTTGGAAAAAGCAACAAAACAAAATGGCCATTTTCAAAGGTATGTTCTTCCTTACAGGAGAATAAAGCAAGTCCATTCAGGTCTCCTTTGTATTTTCAAAACTGTCCCTTCCCAAGAGGAAATACACTGGAGCCCTTAAACCCAGTGTCAGTAGGAAGCTCTCACCTGTCAATGAGGAGCTCTTTCTCCTTGAGTAGGTTTTCATGGGAGTTCAGGATGTTGATCCACTGGGCTGGATCAGGTGTAGGTAGTGAAGGAGAATACATGGAGGGATGGTGGCAGGCACCTCCATTTTGTAACTGAAAGAGGAGACAAAATAAGGAGGGAGAGATTTATGCTCCACAGAGGTAATTGCAACATTGCTAGAGCTATTTTGCACACCGTGTGCTCATCTGCATGCCAGGACACAGCTATTTCAGTCTCTGTTGATGTCCAAGAACAAGCAACTTCACCCAAGAGCAACTGGAGATTAACAAATAATTTTAGATCACTGTGCTTGCCCACTGGAAATAATCTGTCTCCATCAGGGTAGAGGTAGCAAAGGCAATAAGCAGTTCCTCTCCTAAAAACGAACTGCAGTTTACACACCTTCTGAGATCTGTTTTCTAACATACAGAATAGAACTGTTCTATAAACTGCTAAGAACTGGCATGTTTTGGCCGATGGGTATTTCACCTCTGCATCTGCACTGAACTATTGTGCAGTATTTTAACACAATGCAGTGCTGCTCAGAGTAAGCAGCAAATGATACCTGTGACACCACACTGTAAAACAAGCCATTAAGAAAATTACTGTTTGTGTAAGATAGGAAAAGCAGAAGATATTATTTCCCTCACTTCTCAAGTCCCAAACAATCATTCACGAGTAAAAAGAAAGGACAGGTTTTAAACTCACACACACGATGCCCTACCTGCATCTGCTCTATCTGCAGTCGCACACTGTCCAGCTGTTGTTTCCAAGCACTGAGCTCACAGACCCTCTCATGCGGATGCAGCGTGCAGGTCTCTTGCATCCATGCCACAGATGGGGGCGTTACAGGTTTTGGAAAGAAACTGTTGGTCTGGAGTCCCGCTGGCATCAGCCTGCTGCCTCCTGGCCACGTCCCGTCACAGGCTCCATTAGCCCCTGCAGACTGCTTGATCTCTGGCAGCACCTTATAATGGTCTCCCCCTGCCTCAGCTGCCCCAGAGTTTGGATTGAATTTCTGGAACCTCTGGAGAGGGTCAGCACACAAACTATCCAGAAAGAGAGACTGGTTAAGCGTGCGCTCAATGGCAGGGGTGTCAAACTTCCAAGTATCTTCTGTTCTCATGTGATCAGAAACAGGACGCCAGGATTTCTCAAATCCATTTTCCCCTGAAGTCCCACAGAGGCGCAGCAGATCCCTGTGTGGCAGCTGAGATGACTTCCCAGCATTAAAGTCTCCATTTCTCAGGAGTCCTGCATGTTCCAAAGCAGCCCCTGGCACAGCAGTTTTGGAAGTACTCTGCAAACAGCTCTGCTCTCCTGCTGAGGACAGCTTGGAGGGTGAGGCACCCAGTGTGGATGGCATAACATGGGCTGTTGGGATGGTTGCTTGGGTTTTAATGGGCTGGAATGAGGAACCGTTACTGGAACTGCAGAAGTCTGGGAAAAGATAAGCCATACTTTAATCTTGGAAACATTCTGACATGAACAGCCATTCCTCTGCTAAACATTTTTCCTCAAGAATCTAAAAAAGCAATTCTTCGCACCCACCCCAAGCAGCAGCACAATGAAGGCTCCCCCCACGACAAGTTTACCACAGTAAACTACAGGGAGAATCCAAGTTTAGTTCAGTACACATTTTTAAGTGACTCCAGTATACTAGTTATTCCAGCATAAGCTTAGATAAACAAGGTTCTCTTCCAGTAATTTTAGAAATCAAACCCTTTAAATCAAATAAAAAGGCTGAAACTTACTCAGCTGAACACTGAGAGCATGATTCTGCTCTGCCCATCCCACAGCTCAGTGACTCTGAACCATGCCCAAACCCAATGGGAGCCTTTGCTAGGCCCATCACCAGAGCACTACATCACCAAGCAGTGGATCTTCCACCTCCTCCGGGACACAGCAGCAAAGGAACTCCTTCCCGAGGCTACAGTAATGGCTGTCGCCTTACTGCTACAGGAAATGATACAGCACAAGCACCCCAACGTGAGCCTGTCCTGTCAGATGGGCACCAAACCTGGCTACATGGAAATACAGGGTTATTCTTAGCAACTCTCAGATTTCAATGCAGCAACAGCACGAGCTGAGAAAGGCAAACACTGAAATGCCTGTTCCCTCTCCTCCTCCCAACACACCGCATATCTCAGAGACGCCAGGTTGCCTACAGATACACAAACTTGTTTTCTCGTTTCTGGTTTGGCTGGAGGCCCATCTCCATCGGATGTTCCTTTGATCCAAGGTCAGAACTGCAAGGTCACACTCGCACATGCTTGTACCCTCAAAGCATTGCAGCAAGCAGTAATGAAAGGTAACACTTTCAATATGATCTTTTCAATATGGTCTTTTCAATACCATCATAAAAACACTGGAAAACCACCATGTGAAAGGACAAGATCCTTTCCTCCAAAACGAGCAGGAAAAGTGTTTGAAGGAAGAAATCTCTTCAGACATTCCTTGGCTGTGTCCAGGAATCCCGGAGAACAACATGCTACCAAGCAGTCACAAGAACACGTTGGCAAACAGAGAAGGGACAGTGCAATTTCCTTTTACAGCCTCTGTATTTATACCCCAGCATCACTGTCAGGAACTTGAGCCCTCTGACCAGCACGCCATGCACGGACGCTGAAATCAGTCCCTTGAATGCACTGAGGATCATCACAACAACATTTCTACATAACTGATGAGCTGATTTGAAAGTCAGCATGGCTCAGCCAGTTGTCAGTGCTGCAATTCAGCCTCAGCTCTTGGAAAGACTGCGGCACTGCAGACATTCAGAAGGGCAATTTCCTAAAGAAACATCCTTGTTCTCTCTCCTGCCCTCAGCAAACAATAGGATGTTTTCTTATCCTGAGAGACATAAACATATGCTCTAGTAATACCTCCAGTAATCACAGAATCACCCAGGTTGGAAAAGACCTTCAAAATCATCCAGTCCAACCATCCACTTATCGCCAGTACTTCCCCACTAAACCAGGTCTCTTAGTAGCACATCTAAATGTTTCTGGGACACCTCCAGGGATGCTGACTCCACCACCTCTCTGGGCAGCCCTTCCCAGCAGCTCACCACTCTTTCAGAAAAGTATTTCCTAATGTCCAACTTGAACCTCCTCTGCACAGCTTGAGGCCATTCCCTCTAGTCCTATTGCTAATTACACAGGAGAAGTTGATCCCCATCTCAGCACAGCCTCCCTTCAGGCAGTTGTAGAGAGCAATGAGGTCTCTGCTGAGCCTCCTCTTCTCCAGACTGAACAATCCCAGTTTCCTCCACTGCTCCTCAATGTCTTTCTTGTAACGAGGGCCCAGTGCTGAACAAACACTCGAGGTGCAGCCGGAGCAGTGCTGAGGACAGAGGGATGATCTTCCCTGCTCCTGCTGGCTGCACTGTTGCTGATACAAGCCAGGATGCCATTGGCCTTCTTGGCCACCTGGGCACACTGCTGGCTCGTGTTCAGATGAGTGTAAATGAAGAGCCCCAGGTCTGTTTCAGCCACAAAGTCTTCCAGCCACTCTGCCCCAAGCCTGTAGTGTTGCCTGGGGTTGCTGTGGCCAAAGCGCAGCACCTGGCACTCTGCTGGACTTCATCCCATTGGCCTCAGCCCAGTGATCAGCCTGCCAGATCTTCTGCAGGGCCTTCCTACCCACAGGGAAATCGACACTTTATGCCAACTTTAGTGCCATCCCAAATATTTCTACAATCATTTAAAAAAGCCTTAATTTCAACTCACACATTAGGATCTATAGCTCGCTCAAAAGAGACAGACATAAAAGGCTGAGATGTAGAAATGCATGAAATGCACTGTTTTAAAGAATAACACAAACTTCCTCTCTGCTGGAACAGGCATCAGTGAATCAATAATGTTTTATGTCACTTTTATGAATGAAAGCACAAGTAGGAAAGATCTAAGAGACAAGAAATTTCACCTTCAGGGCTTTAGCTGAGTGCAAGCCACTGTCATTGTCCAGTGAGAAGCACACAGCTTTCACACTGATAAGACTTATACACAAAGGTACACTGATTTTAAATCCCTAAAATCACAGAATGGCTTGGGTTGCAAAGGCCCACAGTGCTCATCCAGCTCCAACCCCCTGCTGTGTGCAGGTCACCAACAGCAGACCAGGCTGCCCAGAGCCACATCCAGCCTGGCCTTGAATGCCTGCAGGGATGGGGCATCCACAGCCTCCACAAAGCACACACGAGACTTGCTGGTAGATCACTTGTATATATGGGTATCAAACATCACATCACCAAGATGGCTCTTTCAATCTGCTAAAATGCTTATTAGTCAAAAGTCAACAATTCATTAGAGAAACAGTAATTTCCTTGATTACTAGTTTATGTTTTAGGCAGTAAATCTGAGTAGTATCTGAGGCTCTGGTTTTGAAATAGTTACCAGATTTCATTATAGATTCTGCTCCCTCCAACTTGCACATACTAGGGTTCAGTAACTGTTTAATGCCTGTGGGTCTTCTAAGAACACCTCAGGCAGTTATTGTGTGATCCCATGCTGAAAATCACCTTCTGTGCTGTCGGAGCAGGAGGTCCCTATGCCCACATCACCGCTGTCGGCCATGCTGGAGCAGCGACTGGTGCGGCTCTGGAACTTCACAGACAGCATTGGTGTTTTCCAGTCAGTCTCTGAGAAATGACTCTTCTGAGCAGCACTGGGATCTAGAGAGAAAAAGCCAGTATGTTTGTGTTTAGCCAGCAGACTGAAAAGCCGTTTAATATATCTCACTGGTGACAGGACGAGGCCTTAAGCTGCACCAGAGTAAGTTTAGGTTGGATATCAGGAAAAACTTTACAGAAAGCACTGGAATGGGCTGCCCAGGGAGGTGGTTGAGTCACCATCCCTGGAAGTGTTTAAAAACTGGATGTGGTGCTCAGGGACATGATTTAACAGAGGGTTTTTAAGGTGAGGGTAGCAGGTTGTGGTTGGACTTGATGATCTTTAAGGTCTTTTCCAACCTGAGCAATTCCATGACTCTATGCTTCTATACGTATCTTATTGAGCCATACCAACTTGTCATTTGTAGCAGAAAATAAACTGATGCTTGCTCAACTTCCCATATTGCTTCTAAAGAAATTCCTTTTGCAATTACAAGGAATTGAAATACACTTACATGGTTGAAAACCAATCCTGTTATAGAAGTCAGAATGCAGAAGCAATGAATATTTCCAGCAATACGGCTGGTGGTGCTGTGATACTGATTAAAAGGGAGCAGCAACGAGGTCTCACAGCAATATATGCTTTCATATTAACTGTTAAGAAGCGATTACCCAGCAGACGGGCCCGCTACCAAGCAACAGCCGAGCCATAAACCTGCTCTGCAGGAAGCAGCGTTGTGCTGCAGCAGAGCTCTGGGCCAGCAGCTCCTCTCGGTCGCGTTTCCCCCAGAGAAACGAAACGGGATCCCCAGCAGCGCGACAGCCCTTACCCAGCGGATCGCCGCGCTGCAGCCTCAGCTCCGGCTGTTTCTGGAGAGCAGCCATCTTACGTGCTGCACGACCGCGGGGCGACGAGAGACGGGGCTTTAATCAGCGCAAAGCAAACCGCGATCCCACCGGCCGGGCCCTGAGGTGAGGGAACAACAGCCCAGGATGGAGGAAGAGAGGCGGAGGAAACCGTAAGGGAGGAAGCCGACACGTAGCACGGCACCACACCAACCGCCCCCCTCGCTCACCTGCCCGCCGCGCCAACCGCGCGCCCCGACCGTTACGGCCCGGGGTGGGGGGCGGAGCCAGCAGGACGCACCTCCCCGCCGCTCTCCCCCAGCCTATCGGAAGAGGGAGCTTCACCCCCGGCTCGCGCCGATTGGCTGAGCGAAAAGATGGCCCCGCCCCGCGGCGTTCGGTGGAGGAAAAGTGTCGGCAGCCGCCACCGCGGGGTGGGGTTCGCTGTTTTCTTGCGCGTGCGCAGTGCGGGTGGTGCGCTCAGGTGTGCTGAGGTGTGGGTAGCCCTGGCCCGAAGGGGGGGGAGCTCCGCAGTGGCCGTCAGCAGAGAGCGGAGGTCCGCGCTGCTCCTCCGCTCCGGGTCCATCAGCCGGATCCTCCCATGCTGGCTATGCCGGTGCTCAGCGATGCTGGAGGGCTCTGTCGGCTCCTCCCTTCCCCGGGAGCACGGCGGCACGTGGTGTGGGGGGCCGGATGTCACCGCAGGGACACTTCGGCACGTGGCACATCTGTCAGCGATTTATTAGCTGCAGAAGAGAGCCCGGCTGGAGGCATTGCATTGGGGACGCGTTCCTCCTGGAGAAAGCCCCTGTCCTCAATGTGAAGGGTCCTCAGAAAAAAGCAGGATTGGCCCTGCGGTGTCCCACCCCTGTGGGCGATGCAGCAGAAGCCACTGTGGGGGGCTGAACCTTCTGAAACGTCACCAAACCCCCACGCACCGATCCAGGACAGGCAGAGCACCCGCAGTGCTGTGAGCTCAATGGGGAATGATTCCTGCTGGGGCCCGGGGAGTGTCAGGGCTCGGCTGCTCCTGCTGGAGGCCTCTGCTCAGCCTCGTGACCCCCGCCGCTGTCCTGGCCCTGCTGCCGTGCCCACCACTCCTGCAGCTCCTGGTACAGGTCCTGGTGCTCGTCTTTCCAGCGCTGGAACTTCTCGGAGGTCAGCGCGGCATCATCCAGCAGCTGCTCAAGGGCCTGCAGCTCCGCCAGCTTCGCCTGCAGAGGGGAAGGACATGTTTTGGGGCTGTGTTGGCAGGAGCAGGGGCTGGGGAAGAGCTGTGGGATCCCACCTTGAGCGTGCTCTGCAGGGCCCGCACCGCGTGCACCTTCTCGTTGATGCGGGGGTTCTTGTTGCGCCGGATGAAGGACTTACGGCACTGCTCCTGTGTCAGGAAGCGCTGCCGCCCGATGAGGGACACCCCGCCCTGCCTCAGGCACCACATCAGGCTCTCGAGATCCTCCTCGCAGGGCTCTGAGCGTGGAGATGGACACCATGATATAGGGTAACCCCGAAACCCTGCTGGGGCACCCTCACCTATAGCCCACATCCAAAGGGGAGTTTGGACGCCAAAACACAACACCTCAGAGCTGCAAAGACAAAGATTAGCCTCTGCACTTCAAAACGGCAGCTGTGAATTTGGTTAAAGGACGCACCCAGGATGACAGGGATGTGCCCCTTTTAGCACAGGGCATAGAGTCCCTCGTGCCGACCAGCACCTACCTACAGGTGAATGGGGCTGAGGGCTACTCTGCGGGCTGCTGGATTCACCACTGGTCTGGAAGAGCTGGGCTTTCTCTGGGGCGTTCTGCAGCCTTTTCTTTGGCTGGAGAAGAGATGAGATGGGGATGAGATAAGGAACTGCTGTCCCACCCTGGGGTGTCCCTTAGAGCCACTCACCGAGTCAAAGCCAGGTCGGGGAGATTCATCATCAAGGTCCTCAGCTTCTGTCTCGCTGTAGCAGTCTGGAGGCCATGGGGGAGGATAGAAGCAGAGATCCTGGGCCAGTTCCAGCAGCAGCGCCGAGCACCACCCCCATGCACCTCCTCTCCGTTTCTCACTTTCCCCAAATTGTGGACAAAATTCCCAACGCTCCCACCCGCTCCCCATCTCCTTCCTCCATGTTACCTTCCTCCCTGTGTGGGACGGGCTGGTGGGCTAGTGCATGCTTTGTCTTAGCTGTGATCAAGTGGCTGACCCACCTAGGGAAAAAAGGCCAGACAGACAGTGGGTCACGGACAACCCACTGCAGCAGGACCACTACAAGCTGCCACATCACTCACATGCTCAAATCTGCCAGCGTTTCCGCAGCGAAGACAAAGGGCTTGTACTTCTCATGGGAGAGCTGGAAGACACTGCGAGGAACACAAGCTGCCCTGAGCCCACGTCCTGCCTCCCCCGTGTCAAAGCACCCGCTGCTCTGCAGGGACCCCACCAGCACCGCAGTGCCCACTCACTATTTCTTCTTCTGCTCCCTTGTGCTCTCCAGGTTGTAAGTGGCCACATTGATGAGACCTGCAGCCTTGTCATCCTGTGGGGGACATGCGGTCCTGTCCACTGCCTGCCTTGGCACAGAGCCTGGTGGCAGAGTGTGAGGGCATCCCCACTCACGTTGGGGTGGTTGTACCAGTAGAGCGTGTGGCCCTTCAGCACAAACCAGCAGCGCTTCCACTTCTGGGCCATGAAGCCCACGTGGTCCTTCTTCTTCAGGAGCCAGCCATCGCAGTCCGCCCGGCCCAGGTCCCGGCATGAGACCCGCCGGCGGCTCAGCCTGGTCGCCACTCCTGCAGCATTTTGGGGTGCTTCAGGTGTGGGGCGGTGGGACGAGCCCCCAGCCCGCCTCACCCCAGCCTGCTGTCACTGGCGTCCCACTCACCTTTGGCTCTGCGTCCCGTCTCAGGGCTGCCCTGGAAGGAGACAGATGAAGGGTGAAGCAGCACAGCACCCACAGCCCCGTGGGGCCCCCACCTCACTCACCCTTCAGCAGCAAACTCAGCAGGCTGCCCCCCAACGCAATCCTCGTGCCCCCATGGATGCCCCCCAAAGCTCCATGCTCCCACCAGCTCTCACCTCCCCGGGGGTCTGGCTGGGCTCTGCACTTTGTGCCCTGGGGGCTGTTGTGGGGCTGAACTCTGCTGTGCAGGGTTGGAAGGCACACGGTGAGCTTGGGGTGCCTTGTGGGGTGCCGGCCTCCCACACCACGTCCTTCCCAGCACCTGTAAACAGTGAGCGAGACTGCAGCCTCCTGTCCCAAGGGGAGAGGTGAATCTTTCCCCTCGGTTCCTCCATACCGAGACTGAGTGCTGCCGGCCGGAGCTCACCCACGTCCTCCCTTCGCAGGCTTGTGCTGTGTTTGTCTTCGTCAGTGCTGGGGTCCGGCCCTGAGTCTGCGTCGGCAGTGGTGCTGGGGGGAGAAGGGCCCCCTGAGCCACACAGTGCCCCCTGCCCGGCCGTGGAGCTCCCAGTATTGCTCCCACCCGGAAAAGCTCCCAGCGGCAGTGAGCTCAGCCTGCGGAGCCAACGGCTCGACGCGCTTCTTTCCATTCCGGGAGAGGAGAAGGGTCATTTCTAAATATAGTTTCCTCCCCATTAAAACGTTACCAAGTGAATTAATTACAAACAGAGGCACTTCTCTCTGTGTATGTGTGTTGCTTAAGACTCCTGGCAGCTGCCCGAGCTGCTCACATGAAGGCTCTGCTCTGCGGCGATGGGATGCGAGGTCTAAGCTCACCTGGATGCCGGGGACGAGGGGCTGCTGGGGTACTCGCTGCTTTTGGGGAGATCCACAGCATCCAGAAAAGCACCCGGCACCTGTAGATGGAGCCTCAGTGCTTCACCTTGCATTGCCACATTCTGGGATGACCTCCCATAGGGCTGTAGACACCTGGCTGTGTCCCAGCACAGCCCTGTCTGGCACTGGGAGTACTGGGAATGCTCACCTGCTGCCTGGTGCTCAGGGGGGAACCAGGCAGGCTGAGGGGCAGCTTCTTCAGCACAAGTGACGCTCTGCTTGCCTTCTCCAGCAGCTTCTTCACCAGGTTGACGCGTGTCCAACCCACCTGCCAAGGGCACCTGGTGAGTAGGGGCACAGCCCAACCCCTGCATCTGAGTTCCTGCATTCCCCAAATCCTTCCCAGCCAGAGGCAAGCACCCCTCAACTCCAGCTGTACTGGGGTCCGTCCCGGCCAAACCAATATCCCCACGTGTCCCCGTCCCCAACTCACCACCACTTGCTCATCGACCTGCACGATCTCGTCCCCGGGCAGGATGTGACCCCCATGCACAGCCAGGGCCTGGAGCAAATACAGGCAGCAGGGAGCTTTATGGAGCTTTCTTAGCTGGGAGGACTTGGGGGCGGGGTGGCTCGGAGAGAGTGGGGTTAACCATTAACGCGGGGACTGACCCCGGCGTTGGGCAGCTGCAAGGGTCCAGGTGGGGGGGATGGTGGGATGAGCTGCAGCCACTCATGGCATGAGTTGCCCAGACTCAGCCACGTGCAGCCATCCAGCAGTCTGGGGATGGGAGAGTGGCACAAGGCCTAAGAAGCTCCCAGGACCCAGCCTGACAGGCTGCAATGTCCCAAATGGCCAATGGTAAAAGGGGGAACAAGGTGGCACCAGGGTACAGTGACAGACAAGAAGGGGATGGGCCCCAGCTCACCTCCGAGTTGGTCATGGACACAAAGTGCAGGCAGGAGCTGGTGGAGGTGATCTCCAGACCCTGCAGGGCAGTGGGGGAGGTGTGAGTGAGGGGGGATGAGGGGGGGTAAGGGGCACCAGGGCAGTGGATATCTCACCAGTGGGTTGTAGGGCAGCATTGGGGTGCTGGGGGATGCTGGAGGGCTCCCTGGAGTCTCAGGAGGCAGCACTGGGATGCTGGGAGATGTTGGGGGGCTGCCCCACAGGCCAGGGGGCAGCGTGGGGGTGCTGGGGGAATCTGGAGGGCCATCACATGGTGTGAGGGGCAGTGCCAGCTCCACCTGCTGCAGCATGGCCCTGCGGTCCAGCAGTGCTGGGGGACTGCAGCCCACGATGCTCTCACAGATGCCTATGATGTGCTGGCACTGTGGGTAAAAACATGGAGATGGAGCACTGCTGGGACCCCTATGCCAACAGCCCCCTCTTTATCTAGCACTCACTATACACAGAATCTGGCTGTTCTTCTCTGCAGTAGAGCAGTCCTGGGAGGAAAAATAAGAGGGATGAGTGAGACAGATCAGCATGCTTCTTCCAGCCCTCCCCACCACCTCCTCCCTCACCCCATCTCTCCCTCATCTCCAACACAGAAGGGGCTTTGGGGGTAGGAGATCGCCTGGCTGCCTTCCCCACACCGTGCCCATCACCATGGCCATGTGGCTGTGTGGCCACCCACCATCTGCAGCACCTCCACCAGGCGGGCACAGAGCAGGACAATGTCCCGAGTGGATGAAAAGTCATTCAGGGTGGAGAAGAGGTATCTGGAAGGGAGGTTTGAGAGCTCAGCACCAGGGAATGTGTGCACAGCACCCACGGGTGCCCCTTGCCTGCCCCAGACCTGTTGAGCCAGGAGAAGAGCCTCTTGGCAGCTCCAATCAGGTCGACAACACAGGTCAGCAGGGCGATGAGGGGTGGCTGTGGAGTGGTCCCCCCGGGTGAGCCCTCAAGTACCACGGTCTCAGTGCACTGTGCCAGCTCCCGCAGCCTCTCTGTCAGTGTTCGCAGGCTGGTGCTCACCAGCTCTGTGTCCTGCAGTGAGGACATGGCCAGGACAGTGGTCAGAGGTGGCCAGGATTCCTCCACAGCCTTTCCTGTTCAGCTCAGGGCAATCTCAGTGTTCCCCCCTCCATCCAGCCCAGAGTGTTCCCTTGCTCCATCTACCCCTAGGTAACCCCCCATGTCCTATCCAGTCCAGGTATCACTGTATCCCTCCTCCAACCAGCCCACTGTGTCCCCATGTCACTTCTTCAACATCCATACAGTGCAGGGTGTCCCAGTATCCCCCTCTCCATGCAGCCAGGGTACCCCAATATCCTATTCCATCCAGCCCATGCTATCTCCGTGTCTCCCTTCAACCTCCGTCCATTCCAGAGTGTCCCCATGTCCCAACTCTGTTGAGATCCTGGTGTCCCCTTTTCCCCTCCTCAAACTCCAACCAGCCCAGGATGTCCCTATGTCCCCCTGCTCTATCCAGCGCTGGGTAACCCTCCATGTCCCACCCAGTCCAGTTGTCTCCACATCCCCCTTCAATCCATCAATCCCAGAGTGTCCCCCAGGTCCCCTCTCCCAGCAGCCCACAGTAACCTGATGTCCCCCTTCCATCCGGCCCACACTGTCTCTGTGTGCCCCCTCCATCCATCCCAGACTCCACCACCCATCGCACCGTTGCTCACCAGGGCTCTGAGCTGCTCCACGGCCTCCAGCAGAAGCTCCTGGTGTCCCACACGCCAAACTCCCAGTGCCTCCAGAGCTCCCTCTGACAGCCTCAGCAGCTCAGTGCCTGCCAGACCCCACTCCTCGAAGGGATACCCCTGCACGGCTGCGTCCAGCCCTGCTGAGAGCCAGGCACACGGTGAGGGGGAGACCCTGCCACCCACCCACTGTCCCCTGGTTCGGATGACCCCACGGTGGAGGGTGACACTTGCTTCCGTCCATGCACTGAGCACGCCAGACCTCAGCCAGCACCGTGCTCACAGCCCCCACCTCTTTCCCTTTGAAATCCCTCAGGGTTTTGGGAAAAGGAAGAATAAAGGTTGGGGAATGGGCTCCCACCGCCGCCACAGCATTGCTCCCAAAGCAGGGACACAACCCTCCCACCTGGGGGCTGAGCTCCTCCCTCACTGGGGGTCTTGGGGCGGGGGGCTCTCACCTCGCAGCCAGGCCGCAGTCTGCGCAGGGCCCCAAGCGCCCACAGGCTCCATGGCGGCGGGGCTGGAACCGCCCTCGTCGCTGCTCACCTGCGCCAGGTGAGGGCAGCCCCATTGGCGCACCTGCGTGCTGCTCACCACAGCTTCCTGCCTGCTCTCCTCCCTCCATCCCGGTACGGCGCTGTGGGGTGAGGCACTGCGACGCACCCCAGTGACTCAGGCTGCAGACAGTGACATGCGGCCATCAAAACTCACTGCGGGGAGCTCCATCCTCCGCTCCCCCTGCTGAGCTGTGACTCCCCCTGCACTAGAGCTGAGGCCCGGCACAACTCACAACACTGACGCAGCCACACCGATGGGGATTTTGCAGTCCCCCCTTGAACACGATTCCATTGCAATGGGGAAATTGAGGCCAGGCGCTGGCCTCACCTCCAACCACATCTTTTACAAGCCACAAACCCGCCCTGGTTCCCCCCCGAAACGCCTCCGTGCCGCCCCGCCGCACTGTGTGCGCTTGGGGGAGCAGCGGGCGCTGATTGCTGCTGACAGCCGCGCCGCGCCGCTGTGTGCGAGGGGCCGTGGGTCCGACCTGCTGCTCCCTCCGCACCATGATCATCCGCCCCCGCCGCCTGACCCCAGGCTATTTCCGCCTGCTCCAGGTAAGGGGCTCTCGGGGCTGGGAGGGGGCTCAGGGGCACGCCAAGATCCTGCCCATGCGGCTCGAAGGCCGCAGAGCCGTGCTCGGCCCTGTCCTGGCTCACGGGGAGCACAGAGCTCTGCCTGTGAGATCTGCAGGCTGTGGAGCTCAGGAGGAGCCGCAACCCTTCCACGCGGCCGGCAGGCCTTGGGGCTGCACTCGGCCCTATTCACGCCCCGAGCGGGCCGTGAGGGTGCTGGGGGGCACCCCAATAGACACCAGCTGGGTGCGATGGGGGTGCTCAGGCCACGTAATCCCCCTGCTGGGGTTTTGGGGCCGGGGTCTGCCATTGCCGCCTTCTTTATCTCCTCCAGATGCAGCTGGCAGCGGGACAGGGGGCTGAGCCCAGGGAGCGGGCGCTGCCCCCCACGGCCCTGCTGCTGGCAGCTGCTGGGCTCTGCCTCTCCCTCTACAGCGCCTGGAGGATGGCTGGGACACCCAAGGTCCCCCCACAGCCCTGATGGGCCATGGGGATGGTCCTCAGGTCCCCATCTAGGCCTTGGGATGGTGCCATGACTCCCCCCTGCCAACCTACGCCACTGCCCCATCCTGTCCGTCCATGCCTTGGAGCTGGGGAACATACATCTATCCCTGTCTTGGGAGCCAGGATGCCACAGGATAGGTCACAAAGTTGATTCAAGCCCTCAACAACATGAAGGGATGCAGCGAGCAGGGCCCAGGGCCACCAGCACAGCCCCAGGCTCCACTGAAGCCCCAGGATTGGGCATGAAACCAGAAAATGGAAGAGCGGATGAAGGAGCCGAGTGCCACATTCACTCCCCCCTTAGAGGCTGAAAGGAGGTCAGCTCTGAATGGCATTAGGTAATAAAGCACTGGGACCAGGAACAGCCTCTGAAATGTGTGGACATGGGGCTGACTCCTGCCCAAGGGTAAAGAGCAGTCAGTGCTTCTCCCAGTGCAACCACAGCCTTCCCCTTCCCCATGCTCACTGACCCTGAGCTGAGAGTGAGGCTGCTCCCCCCCGGCAGAGGGTTGGATGCTGACAGCTGGATTTGGTTGCTTTGATCTCTGAAGTCAGGGGGGAACAAATCCAGGCAGCATGCATGGAAATAAATCCTTTCCCTCTGAACAAAGCTGTGTTGTTGTCACACTGCTAAGCAGCAGGGAGGAAAAACCCCTGATGAGTGTCTCAGTGCAGTATTGGTACTGCCACCAGCAGCAGCACAGGGACACAATGCATGTGATCAGAAGCAGGTGGGGGGATGCAATGAGGGGACCACATCATGCCCTATGCACGGCCCCAGCCCCTCACTTGCACAGTTCCACCAGACCAAAACTCAATGACGTTGATTTTCTATAAGCCTAGAAGTGTACCTGCTGGGGGGGGAACACTAGCACGCCTTCTTCAAGGCCCAAAAGAGCAGGGCCAGCCCCACAGTGAGCCGCTTACAATAAACCCAAGTGCTTGATGAAGACTTCATTCAGGAGCATAACCCCCAGTGGGTGGGGATCCCTCCCCCTAGGAGGGCAGAACAAAGGGGCTTTGCCATCCTGCCCCAGAGAGCTCCAACGTCAGCGTTTGGTTGACATATTTTAATGGTAACTCAACCTCTGACTCCAGCAGAGGCACCTCTGAAAGCAAAGAGGTGAGTAGAACACTGCACAGCTACCCATTCTTTCCCCCAGGAATGGGGACGCAGCCATGGCACCCAGGAGCACGCTGGCTGCTTCTCCTCATTAGCGCCTGGCAAAGAGCTGAACAAAGAGTCCTTTCGGCAGCACAGCAGCAAAGGGACCCTCAGCTGGATGCCTCCATCTCAACGACTTCATCCAGGGGCTGGGTTTGCACATGGACCTTCTTTGGAGGGATGTAGGAGCCCATCCCAGCAGCACGCTCGGCCTCCTCCTGTGTATACGGCTCCTCGCTCAGCTGCTTCAGCCTGTGGGGGACAGAAATGGGTTGGAAGCGAATGGATGAAGGGCATCACCACTGTCCTTCTTATTCTAGTTATGGGGCTGGGCACAGCTTCGCTCAGCACCCCCCTATTACCTCTTCTTATGCACCTTGGATCTGAAGTGCTCCTTCATGCTTGTCAGGTCCACGAAGTAGCGCCTGAGGGATAGAAGGGCAAGAGGTCATGGTCAGGGGAAGTATGGATTCAGGAGCCTGTGTGGATTTGGGAACCTTCCACCTCCAGACCCAGCACCCCCACGGTTGGGGTCCCACCAGAGCGCAGAATCAGTGCTCAGAATGTAGAGCTTCCCCAGACCCAGACCCCTCTCCAGCCATAACCCACACCAGGAATCCCTCCTACCCCACCAGGTCTCCGCCAAGATCCCCTGCCCCGCAAGCCAGGACCCTCCCCTAAGAACTCCTCCCCAGGACCCCCAGCCTCCCCATCAGCACCTCGAGACACCAGGGCGAACCCTCCAAAAACCACTCCTAAGACAAGCGTTTCCCCTCCCAAACCCCAGGAACCCCATCCCCCTCCACTGACTTCCGCTCTCTCCCCACTCGCCCCAAAAGAACCTCACAGACCCCTCACAGACCCCCCACCAGGACTCCCCACCACGACCCCACGCACGCGCAGTGCAGGCAGTAGAACTGGGCACAGCCCGGCAGGTCGGGGTCGGGCTCCTGGCGCAGCAGCCGGGCAGCCCGCCCGGGCTCCAGATCGGCGTGGATCTCATCCAAGTCCCGGCGCCGCCGCTTTGTTTTCGCCAGCCGGGCCAGCGAGTGCGCCCGGTGCGCGCCCGTGCGGCGACTGCTGCGCGGCGACATGGCGGCCGACTGGAAGAAGCACTGCTCAGGCGCGGGAGAAAAGAGCTCCGCCCCGCGCCTCTGGGCCACGCCCCCAGTGGCCCCCGTGTGCAGCCGATTGGCGCGACGCTGAAGTAGATTTGCATGTCCCCGCCCCATCTCCGCCCCCTCTCTTCCTGCTCACGGGGAAGTCGTTCTTCCTCGTGCTTTGGCCGCTCTGTGCTGCCAGACTCTATGGTCAAAGGTCCTCCGTGCCGTACTAAGCATGCGCACAGACAAGCGGAAGTCGGAGCGAGCTGAAAGCTGCAGTAGCGCGTTGCGCTCAGCGAGGTGGCGCTGTGCAGCGCTGCGAGCGCTACTGGCTGTACCGGATTCTTCCCAGTGTGCCTTAGAGGAACTCAGGAGCCACCCATTGTATCCTATGGGCCGCCCTGTAGCGCTGGCACAGCTCGTCTTCGTGCTCCAGGGTTCGCAGCGTGGCCTAGTGGGCTCCCAAGGCCCCCAGTGTGCTCTAGGCCGCGCTGGAGTCCTCTCACTTCTCATCATTGTCATCGGGGGAGCTTCAGTGACTGCTCAGTGCGGCCTTGAGGCTTCCAGGTGCCACCCCTTGTGTTCTGGGGCACCCTAGAATCCTCCCAGAGCTGCTTAGTTTGCTCTGGGATTTCTGAGAGTCCTCCCAGTGTATCTCAGCAGAATCCCTGGACCTCTTGGTGTGCTGCAGTGAACCCTAGTGTATTCCCAGAGCTCCTCAGAGTGCTCTGCAATGCCCTCGAGGTTCCCAGTGATCCTTAGAGGACTCCCAGAACTCCCCACTTTAACTTAGGGCACCTCAGTGTGCTCCCAGAGTTCCTCAATGTGCTCTAGGGTACATTCCGTATACACTTGCAAATAATTTATGTTGCACTCATACTTTGTGTTCCTTTTTCCTTTTACTGTGTGAGGTGGGTCTGCTGCCACCAAAAGGTTAGCTTGGATTGAGTTTTTCCATGAATGAGAACCATAGGAGAAAGAAATATGAAGACTACTTGATTGGTTGTCTGCTTGGATGCAGGGATGGACAGTAACATTTTGGAAAGGTATATAATGATACACTGTTTGCAGTACTGAACACAAGAGCTGCCATGCCTGCATGAAGGGGCGTCCAGGACTGCTCTGAAACAAGGAACTGGGTGACTTTGGAAGACACTGTGTCTCCTGGGGCCTTCTACAGTGTGGTTTGCATAGACTGGAAGGAGCAATGCTTGGTACCTTTGCCCTTCATGTCCCACTCTGAGGTGGTGGCTCCTGGACATGGTCCTACCTAGAAAGGACTTTGGTTCAACCTCCAAAGACATGCGCAGTACTGAGTTTTATGATGCAAGTTGTTGGGTTAAACTGGCAGTAAGAAATGTAGAATGAAGGGATGCAGTTTCTGTGAAGGTGAGGATCCATTCTTCACATTACGTACCTTTTATCACATTACCAAGTCAGCCAGATGGATCAAACAGTAGTGGAATGATGACAGTAGTACTTTTTTCACATAGACATTTCCGTGGGTGCCAAGATGGATTAAAATCAAATCCATCTTTTAGTTCCTGGTTTACCCACCTCTTGTCCCTGGAGATACAGTGCTGGCGTTTTTGAGCCCAGGCAATTTCCCACTGGAG